ATCTTTCCGTGCGAGAGCCCGTATGCCCATCCGCTGGTATGCGTTCCGAAGAAAGACGGCAGCATGCGACTCTGTGTCGATTTTCGGGCATTAAACGTGGGGACGGTGGCGGACGCCTACCCAATGGCCCTTCAGCAAGAACTCATAATGAGCGTAGGAAAAGCGAAGTACATAACACTGCTCGACCTGCGAAGAGGTTATTGGCAGGTACCACTCGAGTCTTCTTCGCGCCTGCTGACAGCGTTTGCGTGTCATCGCGGACAGTTTGCCTGGACGGTAATGCCCTTGGGGCTTAAAAACGCTGCTCAGACATTCCAGAGGGCAATGAACGAACTGCTAAGGCCACACAGTCGATACTGCTGTGCATACCTGGATGATATAGTCGTTTTTAGTGAAACGGTCGAAGAGCACGTGGAACACCTGGGGCAGGTGTTTGAGACCCTAAAGCGGGTTAACCTGAAGGTCAAGAGAGATAAGTGCCAGATAGCTCGTCCATCGATCCAGTATTTGGGACATGTGGTAGGCTCGGGACGGCATGCTCCTGACCCTGAGAAGCTTGCAGCGATCAAAGGTTTAAAGGCGCCGGAGACTAAAAGAGAACTACGCAGCGTACTGGGCCTGTGTGGCTACTACCGAAGCTATGTGAAAGATTACGCAGAGGTAGCGAGGCCCCTGACAGAGCTAACGGGGAAGCGAATCCCGAACCAAATTCCAGGGTCCGCGGAAGCTGAAAGGGCGTTTCAGCGGCTTAAGATCGCATTGTGTGAGGCAGCAGCATTATCGACCCCAGATCCCGAGAGGCCGTATTGGCGGTTTACAGACGCGTCCGCGGTCGCGGCTGGAGTCTGCCTGTCGCAACGTGCGGACGATGTTACCGAGATGCCGATCGCATTTGCGAGCCACAAGTTCTCTCCAACTCAAACGCGCTGGTCGACTATTGAGTGAGAGGCCTTTGCAGTCATCTGGGGTCTGAAAAGGTTTGATTTCTGGCTCTTCGGCGCACAGGTTACCGGGGTGTCAGACCACAACCCACTAGCTTTTCTCACCCAGGGCACTCTTCCTGGGGCTAAGCTTACCCGTTGGGCCTTGGCGCTTCAGCGGTATCATGTAGTGGGCAGCACAGGAAAGGCGTCGAGCATGGCAACGCAGATGCGCTTTCGAGGGTGCCTAATGAGTGCTGGGGAATCGGCAGTGGTGCTCCGGGGGTCGAGACACTAGAGGACTAGGCGCATGCTGGACACTCAAAAGTGACGTGCGCGAACCTGTGGACAATTGAACAGCACCACGCATTGAAAGGTCTATGTGCCTCAGTGAAGTGCATTGTTTCTCTTGTGTGTGTGTGTAGCATGCAGGAGTTATTGGTATTTTGGTTGAATTTGAACGGCACCATGTGCTGAAGGGTGTGTGTGTGTTTCAGTGAAGTATTTTTTGTGTATAGGTACGACTGTAAGCATGTAGAAGTTTGTTGTTGTTTTACTTGCCTGCTTTATAGATTGTACTTGTGTGCACAGTGACTTGGTGTCGGTTTTTTTCTTTTTTTTGCTATGTGGTGGCGTCCGTTTGGTGGGGCCTCAAGGGTTAAGCAGAGAAAATATTGCACGCGTTGCAGAAATGCCTCTGACGTTCAAGGAACTGCGAAGTATGGCCACAGGGTTGGGGACGTGCGGCGCCATACCTTTATGTTGTTATTCGCGCAGTTGCATTTGAGCACTTGCGTGAATCTTGGAAAAGGCGTGTAAGGTCTGGCGTCGCAGGCCACGGGAGCGAGTCTTCTCGGTCTCAAAAGGGCGCGCTTCCCAAAAAGCCTATTCTCGGGAGACGATAATCTCGGCGTAAGCACGCCCCTTCCGGCAAGAATACCGCAGTCAGTCGCCGCTTCTAGCAACCAGCTAAATGGTCCCCGGACTGCGGATTGCCGGCGGGTGACAGGAGGACAGTGCATAGCCACCCATCCGTCAGGAGTAGAGTCCGCGGGACGGCTGTCATGCTGGACAGTGTAGTCATCTCGCAGTAATACAGGAGGCCCGCAGCCAAACGGCGCCACCATTGTGTGCGTTCGCACAGTTCGCGGAACGTTGTGTGCAGGCCCGTCCTTTCATCTCTCCCTTTCCGACCGAGCAGTTGAGTGCGATAAGAAGAAAGCGAGAGGAGGGGACGGCAACAAGTGTGTTGTCTGTCCAATAAACGGACCAAATTGCTTTGGTTGGCCATGATGAGAATCGGGAGGGGCAACCGTGGTATTAAAACCTGGCTTCCGAGTGCTCGCAGGCTGGTTCTGGTCGCAGCAAAGAGTGCTCTGCACTATCGGCTCTGCCGAGGCAACATGCGACGGTTGCGACGGTCAAGTCTTGTAAATATGTACATATGTCTGTATATAAAGTCGAGTTATTGTAACGTTTGAAATGTGCTGGCCTCCATCCCCGAACAAGCCGCAGCAGCCACGACAAAACAGGACGGACACCGAGAAGCAAGCAACCTTCCACTGCCTTCTGTAGCTACAGCCGCTACGCAGCTGGGAGAGCTCTGCTCAAGGGAACAGAGGGAGTGGGTAGAAGGCTGAGTTTTACTGATCTAAAGAAGAAAAGAACTCTGCTCCTTGCAGGCAATCGAGGGCGTCATCGATTCTGGGCAGCGGATAAACAGCTCTTTAATTAAAATCAGTTGATCATGAACCCATTCATGCCGCTTTTTATTCACTCCGCAAGCACAAAATACCCTTCAGAAAACAATACGCCTCCATGACGAAGGTACTTATGAAACTATTAACGAAGCCGTGGCTTTATTTTTTACTTTATTGCAGTCAAGATTTCATGAACATTCCGTAGGTGGCAACTGATAGCGCTTCAAAAATAAACTAAGTGAACTAACAAACAGATTTATTGCAAACGACACTTTTCGTTCCTCCCAACAAAAGCCATGGTTCACGACAGCCCTAAAACGCTCGGAAAACACAAGAAAATGTTTTTATCCCACCGCCAAGAAACGTGAGTCCCCATGTGCATGGGATAATTATTATGAAGCAGAAAAGACCTTCCTGCACGCATTGCGTCAGGCCAAGCACGCATTTTACTATAACAACCTTCCAAAACCATTGGTTAATAAACCAAGGCAAGTTTGGAAAGTTATTTACTCTAGTATAACACACTATATACAAATAACAAACGAATCAAACGAAAACACTAACGCAGTCGACAACACCGAGGATTTCAACTCCGCCTTTGATAGTGTCCTTACAAACGAGTCAAATGCACTTCCCGCGTCATCATCACGTTGTATCTGTGTTCTGCAATACCATTTATCACTTTTAATGTACACAGGATTTGCACTACAACTAACAAAAAAAGTTGTCCTCTTCCTCAAGTATAGATGAGATTACCACAAAAATCTTGAAAAACACCAAGTGCATAACCGCAGCATATTTATCTTTGCTGCTCACCCAGCCTCTTTCCTTAAGCCTAATTCCAGATGACTGGAAAGTTGGGAAGGTCGTTGCAGTCCACAATACCGGTAACAAAACATTCCCTCTAATTTACCATCCGATCTCACTAACAACCGTTCCCTGCAAACGCATGAAATATGTCGTGTACTCTCTTGTCATAAGCTTTCTTTATTTCAACGACTATTTTCATACCTCTCAGCATGGATTCCGCAGAGGATACACTTGAGAAACACAGCTTGCCTTCTTTCTACATGACAATCAAGCTAATCCTAATATTATTACACAATGTGGTGTCATTTTACTGGACTTCCGCAGGGCCTTTGATAAGGTTTCCCCACCAGCACCTACTATTAAAACTAAGATAATTTAACTTGCATGTGGATGTGTTCAGGTGCATTAGTGAAGTTCTTAGTAACCGCTCCTAACTGGTAATTATAAATAATCACTTATCTAACTCAGTACTAGTAACATCTGGCGTTCATAAAGAATCTGTCTTTGACCCTTTACTATTTTTAATATATAACAACTCACCTTCGTACGTCTCTTAGAAAATTAAAATATTCGCGAATGATTGTGCCGTTTATCGCGCTATATATAACACCCAAAATCATATTGCCCTCCGAAAAGATCTAGATAACATAGCTACTTGGCGTGATGATTGGCTAATGAACCTAAATGCCAAAAAAATCCAAGTTATGTAATTTTCTCGTAGCACGAATTCCGCACGATTTCTTTACAAAATGAAAAACACACATCTAGAGAATGTACATTCTTATGAATATATAGGAAGCACTCTTTGCAGCGATCTGACCAGGCATGCTCATATTTCTAATATAGTATCATCAGTGAGCCGAACCCTAGGTTTTCTTGGACGTAATCTTCGTCAAGCCCCCGAAAGGTGAAGTTACTCGCTGATCAATCACTCGTAAGACCCGAACTGGAGTATGCATCGGCCATCTGGAACCCACACAGATCATATCTGATCGGTTCTCTTGAAGCTGTGCAGAACCGCGCTACTTAATTCATTCACTCAAGCTACTCATATAATATCAGGATTTAAGCACTCTTCTCAGAATCCGGTTTACCGCAGCTTTCTGATCGTCGCTGCACTTCGAGTTTTTCTCTTTTTGTTTAAATTCTTTTACAGCCCCCTAATCAAGCTCCCTACACTATTCCCGCTGCACACATCTCATCCGTAAGTCGAATGCCCGCGTGCCCGAACTGCTCACTTCTCTACCTCATTCATCGCTAGAACTGCCAAAGACTGCAACGGCCTTCCTGCTGACATTCCTGTCATTACCTGCCCATGCTTGTTCCAACAACGTGTAAATAATCAATATGACACTATTTAATACATAAATCACGTGAAAGTTTTGTTAGCCCACTCCTTATGTAATGTCTCCTCCGGGAGACCCTTAAGATAAATAAACTGAACCGAACCTACTCCAAGTTAAGATATTTTATTTTCAGCGTTTTGTTCACTTGTTTACTTTGCACTTTATAGGCATTACAAGTAACTGCGTGGTGCTTGTCGCTGACCTGTGGCTTGTGCTGCCTGTTCATGAAGATTGGTTGGTATCAGCAGCGGAACCCAACTACGGAGTCTGGGAAGCTGTTCGCTGCGTTCTTCGACCGCATTCTGTGGTCTCTGTGCGTGTCCTGGGTTACATTTGCCTGCTCGACGGCGAGAGGAGGCAAGTACATTTAAAGCTCGTATTGTACCCTGGTGGACAAACCATTGAAAAGGCGTTTGTTGAAATAAAAACCCTTGATCATATATGCACTGGATCACAGTACATGCTGGGTGACCTAAACAGCACAGTAAATTCAAGTCTGTCACATGTGTAGATTTTATCCTGAAGTATATGTTGAGCGAAAGCGTTAATTTCGTGTGCTGAGAATGGCCTTGTATACGGAGTTTGACGAGATGATGTGTGTTCGGCAGGTAGTAATGACGACCTGGGCAACCTAGAAAAGAAGCATATTTTGAGACTAGTGTGTTTACACAATCCACGGAATGTATTGCTATGGTGAGGGTCATTAAACTCTTTGTTAGTGATTGAGCGGAATAGCGATCACTTTGCGTGTTCCTGCAATTGACTTTCCAGCATGCTTCGAACACGCAAATCACTTGATATTCCCGTTCTCTTTTCATGAACTGCGTATACTATGGCGTGTGTTTTTATGTTAGGCCCGTTTTCTTTCAAGTGTTCCACAATGACAAACACTTGAACGAGCTGCGTCATAACTCAGCCACAACCGGCTGTTTTCACGCGTTGTATTTGCGAAAGTCCGCCAACACAGCGACCACAACTCTCACCTGAACAAGTGAGTGCTGCCGCGTACGTTACCGTGCATGTATTCACTCTCCTGGGATTGGTAAAACGCAGCACCGTCTTGAAAATTTTCGAAATGTTCGAATTATATTCAACGCGCGACTGCTTTCTGTGACCACTTCGGCTGGAAATGTAGGCATCTCGCAGCATGTGAAAGTGGATATGATCTACATGTGTGATACCAGAACAGTGCTGCAAAGAGAATCAACACTTCACATGCCAACTTAAATTCTGCTGAGCTATTTGAGTATTACGAAATAATTCCGTTGTTCAGTGATGTCTGAAAACTCTCAAAGTATGATCAACATTCAAGTTCTCAATTGGCTCTTGGATGAAGTTCCTCAAACCAATGAACCTAGTCCTCAAAGGGCTTTTGTTGTAGACGTCATAAGTTTGTGTCCCGCTTCCTTTGAATAAGAATACCATTGCGCTTTTTTTTTCTTGTGCAGAGCACTCGAGATTCCTGACTGCAGAAATGTTCAAAAAACAAAAGAAATATGTGGAGATGTTTCCTTGTGACTCGTTAAACAGTACCTTACCTCGACCTGAATACCTCTACTGTTGGTTGGAAATGTGTTGTACCTTACCTTGACCTGAATACCTCTACTATTGGTTGGAATTGTGTTGTGCTTCGTAACACTAAATACCTTAGAAAAAGCAAACAAGTACTTCAATGCTTCATACGCGACGTCCAATGACAGTCACAGCTCCTACGTCATATGTGCAAAACATAATTACATGTGAGAGCGAGATTGAATGCCGGCTGCAGCAGCTGCGTTTTTGATGGATGCGAAAATGCTGTAGGCCCGTGTGCTCAGATTTGGGTGCACGTTAGAGAACCCCAGGTGTTCATAATTCCGGAGCACTCCGCTACGGCATCTCTCATATACATATGGTGGTTTAGGGATGGTAAACCCCGCTTTCAATAATAAGAACTGCATCTTAGAATTGCACGCTTTAGGTACTCCGCACAAATGAAATAGTTGATAACTCAGCGTGTCAAAGTATGAAGCCAATTGCTCTCAAAATACAATTGCAAGGCATTTTTTTCTTGAAGCTCCTGATAAAATGACGCTTTTTTTTTTACTATGAAGCTACCATTAATGACAAGACGAGCTAAGGTGTTATGTAAACCTACAGCAATTAACATGGATATTTCTTGTTCTCTTTCTTATGCCTCACAACAGTGACAAATAGTGAAAGAAGAGGACGCGAAACCAAACTTTATCATTTCAAGTCACTCTATAAAAGTGACTTCATTTGCAAGTGCACGAGTTAGCTCTTTTGCGTGGTAAACAAACCAAGATCACAATTTTTTCGACTAATATTTAGAGATAATATTATTTAAATTACTAATTCCGAATATATTTGAAACTCTTATTCACTCGGAACGTCTTGCTGTTTCAAGTAGCACTAAATTTGCACAATAAGGTAACTTCCTGTTACTTTTATGTCGCATTTAAGGGAAAATGATGACATACTCTACTATCACAGGTACATACGAGACCAAACTATATATCTGTCTATAAATAGTTCTCTAGTTCCTATTTATTGAACTATCATGTGAAGAAAATATTTACTATTATTAACATTGAATTTCTGCTATTTGCGAGGCCTTCTTGTACTTCGTCTTAGCTTTTTTGCATGTGTATGTGTTCTCACTCAGCTTATTCTTTCTCATTCTGATACCATAATTCCTACTCTGATTGTAACTTTTTGTCGTAAAAATTTATGAAGGGTCTCTTTAGAGTTCCTCATCGTAACATTTTGTGCAGTTCATTGCAGCGAATCGACTGACATTCTTAAACTTAAAGTTAAGCAAAGTTTAATGTTTTAAAGCCCTTCTATTATTCAGTAAAGAAGAACATATATGTAATCGTTATTCATTATTGCGCACGCAGGCTGGCTGGACGCATTCCTGTCGTGGGACGCATTCGCACCTCTGAGTCGCCTGTCGTTTGGGGTCTACCTGGTTCACTCGCCATTTTTTCTTCTCACCTTCCACATCTCAAGAGAACGCATCTACTTCTCGCATTTCTTCATAGTAAGCCAAAATGCATTGTACATGTTCTTCTTTGGCTCGTGGAGCTACTCTATCGTCCTATAATTTCCTGTGTTGTTTTCTTTTACTCCGGGTGCTTGTTTTACGCTCAAAAAGAACCCAGCTGTTCCTTCAGCCGCAACAATGTTTTGATCAGTGGTGCGTTGAAGCTTCTATAGAAGTGTCATTTATAGCTTTTGTGCGCATATGATCTCGCGTCTACAAAGGGAGAGGGAAGCTTGTTACAGTGTGTAAAATATTACATCGTACGTATACACCTAGGGTTGACCGAAATTCCAGTAAAAAACGCTGCTTCCAAAAAAGCCACGCGATCCTTGCATCGCACTATAGCGTACACACGTTCACCAAGTGGCGAATACATAGAAATAGGAAAAAGAAGAAACCTTTAATGCATACTAAAGGCGTCTGTCCTGCGCTGCGCCCATTATGATGCATCTCGAGATAGATGCGTTGAAATGTTTAAATTCCTGCACAGTGCACGGCAGAAACACAATATATGCAACACGAATAAGAACACCACGATCCTTATCGCTAAGAAGCGCCTCTGAGGAAGTTTAAAATTACATTGGTAAACGATGAGAATGTGTAAACAGGGGTTGAGCTCGAGCAGACGTTTCGACAAACGGACCTGTCTTTTTCAAGGCTGCAACTACTTTGAAAGTACTTGATGTCTTGGAGAAGACAAGTCCACTTGTCGATAGTCCACTTGTCCATAGAATGCCTCCAGTACTACTCCTGTTTATAAATTTTCATTCCTAATTTCCATGTTTCAGCCCAAGACTCCAGCCTTTTTTCTTTGTTAAGCGAGATCCACAGTCGATGACTGTGAAGGTACAATTTATATGAACTAAGGCAGCGAAGGGTGTGCACCTTACTGAGCTAGGTAGATGCAAATGCTTAGCGAATTCGGCTTCATGGGCTTGCTCACAAATGCTTCAGTTCCCAAGTGTTACTTCTCATTGTCTAGACGCCTTAACTAACAGCGTTTCCATGTGCAGAATTGGCCTGGAAACTCATTTTCCTCCTTCGTTTCATCACCTTTTTATCTTGATTCAGAGTGGGTCTTTTGCTGCGCAGGTGACGCTCTTCTTCTCGGCTCTCGTGTGGTGCTTTTCACTCAGCTATCTGCTGTTCATCTCATGCGAGGCTCCCGTTGGACGAATCGACAAGCTGCTATTCAGTTCCCGCTCGCGAAAAGCGGATGTCACTGATGTTGCGAGCACAAATTCTTCCAACGGCCCCGAACCTACCTCTGTCATTCCGCACAAAAGCACCGACATCGTCTGCAGCGATTTTGGGCCACCGCAATGCGTGGCGTCGGAAAAGAACAAGGTTTGCATCATAATCAATGGTGACACTGTCTGTTACCATTTGTGAACTGTGGACAAGAAAGTGTGTAGGAGGTCAACGTACTGACGATCGAGCATTTGGAAAAGCCAAAGTGTAATTGAGAATTAAAGTTGACAGGACAGTTCAGAGTCCCTCTCCTAAAAGTTTGGAGGACTGGAGCCATAGGGAAATGTTTTCAGGATACCTACGAAAAGTTTTGCCGTAATTTTGTTGACTTTCCAGCATAGGAGCCACAACTATGTATAATCTTGTAAGCTATAAAGAACACTGGCCACTTGCAGGAGCCCTTTAGAAACAGAGGGGCAGTTCATACTCACGAAGTACGTATACATAATACCACATGTTGAGTAGATGTGGAGTAGGCTACTGCTTCTTATTTCATGAATAGCTGCTGCACACATATTTTATAATATATTCATGAATTGCTCAGAAAGTACGAACAAAAAAAAACGTTAACACGAAGTGATTGTCACTAAAACACAACAGTAAAACCAATAAGTGACCTTAAAAGAAGGTACTATCCAATGAAACATGACAAGAAAATATACATCTGGCAATATAGGCAGCAGTACAAATAGGAAACATTAATATGGTGGGAAAGAAAGGTTCTATACATCCGAATAATCATTTTACAAAACCACAATCCTCCAAAATGTTCATGATTGCTTCAAAGCGCACTTTCTGATCGCTCTCGTTTAGCAAGCAACCCATATGTTGTAAGAGAAAGTACTTCTCTAACGACAACGTTAAGTAGATAAATATAGGGTGACCTGCTTCAGTTAAGAATCAATATGCTCGAGATACGCATACTAATTCTGCCGATGGCATTGTAATTTGAACAGCCAGTGATCAAGCTCAACTGGAACTTGTTTAACTGGTTGAGTGGCGATGTCTTTCTTGAAATAACTAACCTGAAAGTAACTGACCTGAAACAGACTTTGCACAGCGCAATGAAAAACGAGGACCCAAGATAGGACACAACAGGGCCATGGCTCATGTTGGGTCTTAGCTTATATCCTTGTTTTTTTGCGCTATGAAAACATGTGAAATCCAAATCACGAACTATAGCGCAGGCAACAGTTGTATCATGACCTAAAATATTTTTTTTTCATCAGTGTGGTAATTTCCCAAGGTCTATACCATCCTAACTACCACCACCACCAAGAAAACAAGCCCTTGGCTCCTAGAGAACAGACGCAAAACAGCGTGTTGAAGGAAAATAAGCCATGTTTGTTTGCCTTCATTAACGATGTGAAGCAAAGGTGGGTGGTTGCGCTCCCAGTAGACAACACTAATGATTCTTTGACGACCGCATCTATACGTCATTCGTGCCAAAGGGGCCCGTTTATCAAAGCCGACATTTCTACACATAAGTGACGGCCTACTTCCTTCATCGCGATCGCGTGATCCCGACAGGCGTTGCTCACGCAAACGAAAACGAGGCCCGTAAAGCTATAGTGCAAGTTTTTTTCGTCATGATCTTATTTTTTATCATTTATTTATTGTGCTCAATGCGATGGGGATTTTCCCCTGAGAAACGGTCATTGCCAACAGATGAACGCACAAAAAAGGCGTGCACTTCGGAAAGGCGCCATGAATCCTGGGCTACAGAGCATATGACATAGGCACCAGATTGAATAGATGTGCCTTTCCGCACATTTAGCGTATTGAGAGCATAACTTCATTAAGCAGGCCAATTAAAATATAACAACCAATATTTTCTGCTTTGAGATGCACGTTAGCCTTTCCACGGTGCTCGTACAGACCCCATGGGTCATCAGGCGTATGATCTTACATCTATGTGAAGAATCAGTTTTGCGTGGCTTGGAAATTTGCCAACACGCTTAACAGTCAATCGATGGAGCTAATAAGTCATATCTAATCTTCTTGTTCATCGACAACTTGTACAAGTTCTCGATATAAATTCTACAAAAGAGTACGACGAATAAAGCAACTTGTCGAGACAGGCAAATGATATGTCGCAGAATCTCACGTGCGGTTTTCTTTGCTTCGCGTTTTCTTGCAAAAGAAGTCATGAACATTCAACTGAGGCATATATATTGTAATATAACTAATATTTGCATTTGTTAAAACTTTATCGATATCTATGCAGTGAGGCAAAGCGGGCGTTATCTATTTGGTATACTAATCACTCTTGAAAAAGGTAGTGCCACTTAACAACTTTTGAAGAGTAAGGTGTTGTCACAACATTCACTACCTAAGTAGTAAGTGCAGGTAATATACCACAGAGATTTACTACCTCAGAAGCATACCAGATGTGGTAAATGTCTGTAGTCTACTGTCTGCCGTAACTACTTGGGTAGTGATTATTGTGACAGCACCTTACTACCTCAAAAGTTGGTAAGTAGCAATGCCTTTATTTAAGAGTGATATTAGCCAAAGTTGATTTGCGCCACACTAACTCACCTTTTCTTTTTTTGGCGTAGAATCTCTGCACGTGTGTATATGATGGCATATAAAATTGTTTAGCTGTCTTCAGTAATTTGTAGAATTATTGATGAAGGAAAAACAAAGCCTACGCACTTAAAAAGCATGAGCATGCTTGCTAACACAAACCAGACAACGGGGTCATAAAACGTTCAGGTAACGTCCCAGGCTAAAAAAAACATAAACCTCTACCCGGTGGGATAGGTGAAGAAAATTTTCCTTCTCGAAGACGTCGCTCAAGACTAAAATATCACCTTTCCGCGAACGTGGGCCCTGCCCCCACAACGCACCACGCACTTTATTCCTTTGTGTTCTCTTTCGAAAGCATCACCAATGCGTCTGCGTGCACCACGCTGCAATTATACACCTTTGGCAGCGTGAAGTTATTCAATACTGTATCACACGGATATTACGCGTGCAAAGTTTAACCTGTATTGGTTTTTTCTCCTGTTTAAAGCAATGTTTCGTTACATATACAAGGTGTCCTGGTTAACCTGGACCAACCTTTAGAGAAAAGGATGTGTTTATCAATAGTTTGACCTGTTCCATATTAGTGGTGTAGTCGTGTGTACTTACAAGCTGTATTTTTTCATGACAAAATACTTTCGAAAAATAATTATATTTGCAAAACTTTTCTTGTTTTTGCTAGAATCTGTAAAGTATTGACATTATGTTGTAGCTCGCCCTAAATAACCCTTGAACCAAGCATTAATTTTTTGGCTGAAATCTGCTTGGCTGTTTCTTCAGCGAAAAAAAAAACGCAAAAAAAAAACGTGAAATGTAAATTATGCGCGCTCTCACGCGCCAATTCTCGAGCGCTTTCAAGCGTTCTTTAATTGACACATCGCTGCGTTCGTTCGTCATCACTTTGCACGAGGCTTCACGCTCGAAGATAGGCACACCAGTAGCGTCTTTCGATTCACGTCTACCAAACAGCGTGATGCTCATCACAATAAATAACGCAGCCGTCTATCAACTAAAGAACACTAGGAAGCGGCACATCAGCGCGTGTCTATTTCATATATCGCATGTGTGGCGAGATTTTTTTTTCTATGATAAAACAACCCAGCAGACTTCAGCCTAATACAAATCCTTGATTTTGGGGTTATTTAGGGCGACCTACAGCATAATTTCAATATTTTATCGTTTCCGGCAAAAATGGAAAAAGTTGTAATTAAATTAGTATGAACTATTTAGAGATTAGTCGGAAAAACTACAGCTTGTAAGTACGCATTACTACCACTAATATGCAACAACTAAAATTTTGTTGAACGCATGCTTTTTTTAAATTTTCGTCCAAGTTAACTGGTACACTATGTACACCTTTTACAAATCGTCGTATGATTGTAATTATATAATAGGAAATACACACAAAGTGAAAAAAATACACATGAAAGTAGCTGGCTGACAGCTGCCACTGAATGGGGCACAACGCCTGCCTACTCATTCGGGGTGACGCCAGAGAGAGAAGAGTTGAAGATAGGAGGAAAAAGCAATTGATTGATATGTGGGGTTTAACGTCCCAAAACCACCATATGATTATGAGAGACGCCGTAGTGGAGGGCTCCGGAAATTTCGACCACCTGGGGTTCTTTAACGTGCACCCAAATCTGAGCACACGGGCATACAACAAGGAGGAAAAAAAAAACAAGAAGGAAGCTGCAGCGTAAGAATAAAAAAAAAGACACGTTCACAACAAAATATTACACATTCGAACACATAACGAAGCATATGTATCTTCATATGTAATTGTCAAAAGCTGTAAAAGTATAGCCCTATCCTAACGCTTCAAGCATGTAACCCAGACGTGTAGTCAAGCTACTAAATAGATACAGTTATATAGTTTCATCTCATATGCAAACACGTACATGGTCAGACGGGACAAAACGGCAAGAGGCCAGAGCTGCACGAAGAAAGCACGTCATTGAGCGTCTCGAAATTTCCCCAGCACCTACTTGCTTAAGAGACCTTGAGCGGTGTCGATCAGTGCAAATGGGACTGTGACAATAAGTGTGGCAATGCAAGACCATGGCACTGCGTTTGCCCGTTCGAGTGGGTGCGATAGGTACGCTGCTTCCTTACGCAGTAATTGTTGGCTTCATATACTTGGCGTTCGTTCGGCGAAGCTTCGAATGTCGACCCATTATATGTTTGCGTCGTTTGGTACGTAAGGATCGTAGTTGCTCAATTTTTCTTGTAACGCGGCCGCAGAGGTTGCGAAATAAACATATGTAGTATCGTGTAGGGTGTCTGGCACACAACTTGCCTCGCCGATTGCGGGCACAACGGGGATCTATTGTTTAATTTTATGGATACCACAATTTGTTTCGTTTTAGCATTACTAAAAGTGAAGCATATGCTTTGTCGTATCAGGTGTTGTGAGAGGGAGCTTTGTTACTATCGAAAAACCAATAATAATGCGTTTACCAGCTAGTAAATGCTTCTCATTTCAATGAATATTCTTTTGTTCAGATATCTAGCAGTCACCCCCCCCCCCTAATAGTTATGGTGCTCTACTGCTAACCCGATGGTCGCGAGCTCGAATGCCGGCCATGATGGCCACATTTTCGATGAAGGTGAAAATGTTTTAGACCTGCGTAACCAGTTTTATGGGCATGTTAAAAAAAACCCCAGGGCGTTCGAATTTCCGGAGCCCCACACTACGGCATCCCTCATAATC